ACTTCGCACAAAAGTGAAAGTGCGTCAGTCCTCCATCTTGGCTCGACCGGAAGCCCAAAACCTTGCATATTTTAATGGATAATGACGTAGAGCTTGTTAGTTTTTTTTTTTTTAGATCTCAAGGCGGTCTTAGCCAATGAGTGACCGGGATAGCTGTCCTAGGCTATTCTGGGAAAGGCCCTGACTGCTTATAGCCCCACTCCCCTGATGGAGGGAGGAAAAGAAGAAAAAGAGCAGGTTCCCACTGCTGCCACTTGCATCCATCCTATCTGGGGCTCAGGCCACCCACTTGAAGGGACCGCTACTCACATAGGCCCTGGGCTCAGGTAGGCAGCTTGCGGCAGCTGTTCCCACATACCTCACATGGGCATGACCCTTGCTTGGTCATGGCAAGGGGCCCAACGGGGGGGGAGCTACTGGTGGGTGGCAGTGAATCTGGGTCCCAGCATCCCAGAACCACTACCTCTGTGGAGATCATGAGGTAGAACCTCACTGATCTAGATTAGCCCAGATCCTTACTGGTTGTCATGGGAGTTGGAGTAAAGTGCATCAAATGCTGAGCTAACAGGGGAAAAAGTAACAACCTGCACCTCACAGTACTTTCTTTGTTCAACAGATAACTGGTATGAAACCTGAGACAAAACTACCAAATGGATAGATTAAATAAATAAGATTCGGTAACCTTGAAAGTACCTTAACAATAATAATAATAAAATCATTGAAGCAACCAGATTCTAGACCAGTAGCACCTTAGTGGCCAACAAGATTGTTGTGTGATTTCTAATGAAGAGAGCTCTGACTCTCAAAAGCTTATACCCCTGCAATCTGGTTGGTCTCTATAGTGCTACTGGCAGGGCCACATTATGACTTTTGTAGGCCCTAGGCACTATGGTGGCCCTCCCGTCATAATAATATCCATACTAAAATTATTTTTGATATAACTTTAAATACATCAACATTTTATTGTTTTTCCCCTCTGTTTTAGGCAAAATGCAATTGATTTTTGTGGGCCCTAAAAATTCATTTTTCCCCCTGATGTTAGAAAAAAAGTAAAACATTTTCTTCAGCCCTAAAAATTCATTATTTCCTCTTTTGATTGTACAAGAAATTAAAACATTTCCATGGGCCCCTAAGAGTATTGTGGGCTCTAGGCACTGTGCCTATTGTGCCTAATGGATACGTTGGCCCTGGCTACTCAATTCTAGCTGTTCTGTTGCATATGGCTAATGTTTCAAACTACCATTAGTGAAAGAATTGGTGAGATCCACACATCTTTATATCGAGAGGTATAGAAAGTTAAATGGAATTAAAATTGTGTCTTTGAAACACAGTGCAAAAGTTTGCTGCTGTAACCCATGGAATTCTCCACTAAATTGAAAAGTAGCTTCTTTTCTAATCTGTATAATGAAGTTTGTATTTATTTATAGCTTGTCTTTCTTACTGAGAATCAAGGTGCATTACATGATATAAAACAATGCAATCAAATAGCATCAGACATCTAATCAAAATCTGATGACATCTGTAAAAATTCAGTTCAAGCTGGACTACTGTTAGGTGTTACCTCATCCTAAATAGTAATTCCCTCTGTAAACCTCCCCCCCATGGCAATAGCTATGCTGATCTGCACAAACACACAGTTTTTTTTCTAGCCAGCCTGCATTATGTAGAGAGTTATAGCTCCAGCCTTGAGCCCGGGCATCATTTGTGCCTGGGGGGGGGGGGGGGGGGTTGAGGATGATATAGCACAACTGGACCCAGCACTGGCTGTCAACCAATCTGCTCTCAAGCACCTTCCTGCAGCCCACCCCCAGAGGTGAAAAATTGTTGCTATTTATCTATATTATTTTTTTCCTGTGTGTGAAACTGTATTCCAAGACTTATACCAGCAAGCACAAGACTGAAGCTGCATGATGTGGTTTCCAGCCACGGAAGTCACCACATAGGTCTAGCTACAGGATAAAAGTATGCTTTGTAATTGGGCGTCTACCTGTAAAATACATTCTATTTTATGTTCTTCCATATACCAATGTCTAGAGAGACTGTTGTTATTTAACATATGATACCCTGTCTAATAAATTCACATCCAGTGTCATATATTCCATCTCTAGCCAAAATGAAGCCATGGACATAAGCAGATACAAGAAAAGCCACAGGATGCATCATATAAACCCAAATGAAATAGGAATTGTAATAAGAACCATTTTTCATTGGTGGTCACTGATGGCAAAAATATTGCTCTTTCAGATAAACCTGCAAAAGAAGATGAGAATCACCGGAGTTATAACTCAAGGAGCTAAGAGAATTGGAAGTCCAGAATATATAAAATCATACAAAATTGCATATAGCAATGACGGGAAATTATGGGCAACATACAAAGTGAAAGGCACAAATGAAGACATGGTAAGTCAGTGTCATCAGCATTAAAAAGCAATTTAAGTTTTCAATGTACAAGAGTTCATTAAATTAACTTTATTGCATTATACAGAAAATGGGTTGATAAATACCATATTAATAGGTTGGATTCTGAAAAACCGTGGAAGGAATTGACATTCTATGCTGACTAAGGGGTTCTTATATTTTAATTGATGATTTTATAAATATAGCATCACAAAGATATAGTAATCCTGTTTATTACATTTAAATGATCCTCATTTTAATCAGTTTACCAGTAATTACTTCGTGTCCAATTTAATTTAATTCTGTAGGAAACTGTTAACCCTTGAATTCATTCAGGAGCATTAAACTCTATACTGCCAGAAAGTTATCGCCTTCTACAAGGGGATTATAATTGGTTTTACTTCGGTCCTAAATTCAAAGAAGCCACTGTGCTTTGCTCATAAGAGCAGAAATATAGAAGGATAGATGGTTTCTGTATAGAAACTGGACAATAATATTAATCAATTCATCTTATATTCTAATAGTCAAGTATAACCCAATCTGCAAGTATCTACATCTGTGGATCAGGGCCACATTGGCTGTAAACAGATAGTTCTACAAACTTGGGGACACCCAAGTTTTCAGAAAAAATGTGAAAACTTAAAAAAAATACATTGGGTGTTTAAATCCCCCCCCCCAAATAAAAGACTGCTACCTGCGCACGAGTAGACAATAGACTTACCTTCCTTCTGGAGTGCATTAATGGTTCCAGTTTAGGAACTATTGCAGAAGTGGTCAACTGCTGAATTAGTCTAAACAATTGCACTGGAAAAGAACTAGTAGATACAATGGAGGCTGAGAAGTAAGATTATTTGCTGCCTTCACTGTCACTTCATAAGCCTTCAGATGAGCTCTATAAAGTGTTCTTGATGCTTCATCGCAAATCTGCTGCCAGTGTTGATCTAGCTGTCTAAGCACTCTGTTTGCATCCCTCTGCAACTCTGTATACCAGAGGGCTTGGGAAGTTCAAAAGTGATTTCAGAAACTACGCATGGCCAGCCCTGGTTACTATTTGGATGGGAGACCTCCAAGGAAGACTGCAGACAAAGGCAATGGCAAACCACCTCTGCTTCTCACTTGCCTTGCTAGAGTCACCAGAAGTTGTTTGCAACTTAACGGCATTCTACACACACACACACACAGAGTAGGGCTGCCAATCCCCAGTTGGGGGTGGGGGATTCCCCCAGTTTGGAGTCCTTCCCCCTGCTTCAGGGCTATCAGAAAGCAGGGGGGAATGGCCGCTGGGCATTCCATCATACCCTATGGAAACCAGTCCCCATAGGTATAATGGAGAATTGATCTGTGGGTATCTGGGACTGTGGGGGGGCTGTTTATTTGAGGTAGAGGCACCAAATTTTCAGCATAGCTGTTGGTGCCTCTCCTGAAAAAAACCCCCAAGTTTCAAGAAGATTGGAGCAGGGGGTCCAATTCTATGAGCCCCCAAAGGATGTGCCCCCATCCTCCATTATTTCCAATGGAGGGAAGGCATTTAAAAGGAATATTGTCCCTTTAAATGTGATGGCAGCTCACCCAGAACTCACTTCAGAGTTCAATCATGCTTCTTCCCTCCTGTCTTCTGAAGTCTCCCTCCTCTCTCCCGGAGCCTCCTGGTAAGTCCCCCACCAGGTTGTCAGCCTCACCTGGCAACCCTAACACACAGGGACGTTTGAGGGGGTAGAGGGTGTCAGGGAACAATTTGGTCAATGGTTTACTGCAGGCCTGAATTCCAGACCTTGGCCAGCTCATTAAGAGAACTGCCAGAAGGTCCAGACAAATCCCACAGAGCATTCTGGAAACCGATTGGATCCATAAGTCTCTGCAGGCAAGCAGAAATAAACTCATTGCCTCTGCAGGAGGGAGGGGCAAAACTCAAACAGTGAAGTGATCTGACATGGCATGAATTCACGTCAAACCACGGAACTCAGATCAACACCTGCACTAAAGATGAAATCCAGCCTGCTTCATGTGTGGGGTCAAAACAACCTGGGAAAGTCCCAGTGTTGCCTGAATCCATTCAGAAATCCAGGGAAATGGATGAATTATAAAATACTTCTCACTACTTGGCAGGATTTTGCAGATAACACATGGCCTTCTCACATGATGACTGAAGGTCCCTCCTGATAAATGGCTGTTTATACTGAACCCTTGTCATTCTCTTTGCATCACTGCCATCTTATCTATCAAATCAGGGCAGCACAGCCTCTGTGAGATGGTGTACTGTGAAATAGTAGTAAAAATGAACATCAATTTGTATTGATAAAATACACTTCTAGAAGTCATTTTAATTTTTTCCATAATGTGTTTTATATTGTCCTAGGTGTTTCATGGAAATGTGGATAATAATACACCTTATGCAAATTCTTTCACCCCACCAATAAAATCTCAGTATATTCGACTGTATCCACAAGTTTGTCGAAGGCATTGTACTTTGCGAATGGAGCTCCTTGGATGTGAATTATCAGGTAAGGTTTTCTTCTAACACTTTCAAATATTGAAAGTGACCTATCTCTTTGTAAGTATTTTGAACTGAAAAGAATAACCAGTTAACAGCAATTAAGGACTATGCTGAACAACTATGCTGAACAACTAAACAGGTTTGAATGTATTATTGACTTTCTCAGAAAAGCCAACACATGCCTGCAGCCAGATAGACCATACTTCATTATGTATTGTTTATAATTACAGGTCCTGTTTTTAGAGGTATTGTATAGACAGAACATAATCATTGTTCTGCTGGAGAAGACTTGTGGAATTGTGGATCTTTTCCACATTTATTTTATTTTGCTTATTTTTTGCTCTTTGAGACTCAAGTGCAGTCAGGCAGCATAAGAAAACCAATAAGCAGTGCAATTGGACTAAGATTACAGAATTAGAATTAGACATGAATTAGAGAATTTGAGCTGCGGTGGCTCAAGTGATTAAGACGCTGGACTGCAGGCTGTGGAAGGTCAGTAGTTCAGCAGTTCGAGACCCGAGTTGCCGCATGACGGAGTGAGCTCCCGTCTCTAGTTCCAGCTCCTGCCAACCTAGCAGTTCGAAAGCAAGAAATTGCAAGTAGATAAATAGGTACCACTTCGGTGGGACGGTAACAGCGTTCCGTGCACCTTGGTGTTTAGTCATGCCTGCCACATGACCACGGAAACGTCTTCGGACAGCGCTGGCTCTTCAGCTTTGAAACGGAGATGAGCACCGCAACCCTAGAGTCGGACTCGACTGGCTTTCAAGCAAGTGAACCTTTACCTTTACCTAGAGAACAGTGCAGAAAAAGAACAATGCAAACAAGAAACTATTGAAGGCGAAGTATACTATAAGCAATACAGAAAGTAGATTACGAAGCATAGAACAATGCAGTAAAAGCAGGTAATCCTACAATAATCATTGTAGTAACCAGGGGTCTTTTGGGGCTGGAGCACACTGTAGCGCCGCTCCGGGAGCCCAGGAGCTGGCAAAATGGCGGCAGCAGCAAGCCCCGCCCCCAGCTCTCCATACTGCGGCCCGTTGCCACCTTCCCGGGGCCTGCGTCGGAGCGCTGCAGCCCCAGGGAGGCCCGCGGAAGCCCGTTTCCACCTTCCCAGGGCCTGCGCCAGAGCGCTGCGGCTCGGAAGAGGCCGAAGGATGCCCATCGCCGCCTTCCTGGGCCAGCGCCAGAGCGCTGCGGCCCGGGGCAGACCAGAAGACGCTCCCCGCTGCCTCCCTGGGCCAGCGCTGAAGTGGGATAAGTGAGGGATCCATGGGGGGGTGGCGGAGGCTTGATTGGGGGAGTGGGGGTGGGAGAGCCTCCCCCCATCTCTTTGCCCTCTTTCTTTCCCTCCTTTCTTTTCTTTCCCTCCTTCTTCCCTACTCTCTCTTTCTTCCCCTCCTTCTTTCTTTCTCTTTATTTTCCTCTTTCCTTCCTTATTTCCTTCTCTTTCACTCTTTTCTTCCTTTGTTCCTTCTCTCTACTCTCTCTCTCTCTCTTTCCTTCCCTCTTTCCTCCTTCTGCGGCCCAACTCTAGTGAGAAGGGGTTTAAACCCCTTCTCTCTTCGCTTCCCCCCCACACGGAAGGGAACGGAAGGCTTTTGAAGATGCCTCCCCCCCCTTTTTCTTCCCCTTCTGACATCTCTTCCAGTAATATCAGGGGGCGTTGCATATGCTAATGAGCTATTATGCTAATAGCCTAGTAGCTCATTAGCATACCATATGCTAATGAGCTCGTGCAGCTCTTTTTCTACGAAAAGACCCCTGGTAGTAACTATATCCTATTCCATTATATGATGTCCTCTTGGACTGTTCTATTCTACCGCATATCTAATATCCTTTTAAAAATGCCCTTCTGAACATTTTATGTTTTGCACATTCTTCAGAATGATAGAAGTGTGGAGCCTTCCTGGCTACCTTAGGCTCTGAGCCTGCTTGTAGGAAAGGGCAGAATAGAAATCCAGAGAGAGAGAGAGAGAGAGAGAGAGAAGTTCAAAGGTGGGAGCCACCGCTAAAAAGTGCAAATGAACAGATAGTTGCCAAACAGTGACACTTTTAGAAGGCTTTGCTCAGATGAGCGAAGCTGTTGTGGTTGTGCATGGTGGAAGAGGCACTGCTGCAGGTATGTGGGTCCAAGGCCATTAAGGGTTTTATAACTGATAACCAGAACCTTGACATGAACCCGGTAACTGACTGGTAGCCAGTGGAGTATCTGCAGAATGGGTGTGCCCGGTGTGTTTCTTCTAGTGCCCAGTAGTAACTGGGCTGCAGCATTTTGCATCAAGTGCAGACCCCAATAAAGTGCATTACAATGGTCTAGCCTCAGGGTAATTATACCATGGATTCATATGGCCAGATCAGTCCCTCTTAATTCTATATAAATTTCAAGGGTTGCCAGGTCCCCACAGGCCACCGGCAGGGGATAGGGGGGTAGGTTTGCCAGATCCAGGTAGGGAAATACCTGGAAATTTGGGGGTGGAGCCTGAGAAAGACAGGGACATCAGTGGGGTATAATGTCATAGAGTCTACCCTCCAAAGCATCTGTTTTCTCCAGGGGAACTAATCTCCGTAGTCTGGAGATGAGCTGTAAATCCAGGGAATCCCCAGGTCACTCCTGGAGGCTGACATCCCTAATTTCTCTTCTATAAACTCTACTAAGCTGTAACCACATCTTGTAGTAATATATTTATGTACTTGTGTGAAACTGAAGAAGTAGTAGTAGGACTAAAAGCTATATCTTAGTTGTTCACTGGTTTGTATCAAAGCCTGGCCTTAGAGTTTTGATCCCTTTAGTAGCTGTATTGTTGTTCGCTATATGTCACCAACTTCTAGAATTATCTAGTATGGAATACAAACTGTCCTAACTCATACTTCTTGGCTATATTATAAATCAAATTATTTGCTGAGAAGTTCTTAAATAGCATAAAAATGTAAAGTAAAATTCTTTACATATTCAGAATGAGATTTCAGTTTATATTTTGGCCACATTCTGGAAACAAACCATAGCTCTGACACAAGTACTCCCCAAAGGATCATTCATAAAGGCCTTTCCTTAGCTCTGCCTGAGCTACCCTTTGTTTCCAAGACTTGATAAAAGTACATTTAAATTGTAGTGTGTGTGTGTTCTCTAATGAGGCTGCAGTTACGAATACAATTCTGAATATAGCTAAGTAGATTTTGTTTATCACCCATGGAGAGATGTTTGGCAGGTATCTCTTCTTCTCTGTTCCTATCCAGCACTTTGAAAGCTATACCTGCTATATTTATCTATTTTTTTAATTATTATTGGATTTCTAGCCCACGCTTCCCTGCACATGCAAGGCTCAGGCCAGGTGCAACAAGTTAATTCAATATTGTAGTTGTTAAAATACATCAACATTATAACAATCCAAGCTAAAATCATATGGCACCATTAGGCACTAAAACACATAATTTATGCAAATGAGGTTGTGCAAGCTGTGTGGTTTATAAAGATGGCACACAATGCAATGAACAGCAGGGAGGGAGAGGAGCTAGGGGAAGCCAAATTGTTGGAACTTCACTTTGCTGCCTCAGCCGTATGCCTGGCGGAACAGTTTGGTTTTACAGGCCCCGCAGAATGAACCAGATTCCTCAGGGCCCAGATACCTGGTAAGGTGTTCCACCAGGCTGGGGCCAGAACCAAAAATGCTCTGGCCCAGGTTAAGGCAAGATGGATATTTTGGGGGCCGGGGACCACCAGGAAGTTGTTATGCATAGAGTGCAATGCTCTCTGGGGGGTGTACCTGAAGATATGTTGGTCCCATACCATGTAGGGCTCTGAAGGTTAAGACCTTGAATCTGAGCTGGTATTCAACTTGGAGCCAATTCAGCTACTGGAGCACAGGTTGAATATGGACTGTAGCTGTACTGTTTGTAAGCACACACACAGCTGCATCCTGGACCAGTTGAAGTTCCCAGGACAGTCTCCGGAGTAGTCCTGCATAGAGCAAGTTACGACAGTCTAGCCTAGAGGTGACCGTTGCATGGATCACTGCAGCTAAGTCAGTGCGAGACAGGAAAGGAGCTAGTTGCTGAGCTTGGTGTAGATGGAAAAATGCCAGTCTGGCAACATTTGCGATCTGGGCCTCCATTGAAAGGGAAGTATCCAGAATCACTCCTAAGGTCTTCACAAGTGGCCTTGGTGTCAATGGCTCACCATCAAGGGCTAGAAGTTGGAATCCCAACCTGGGATCTCCTCAGCTCAGCCAGAGGACCTCCGTCTTTGACGGATTTAGTTTCAGTCGCCTCTGCTTCAACCAACCAACCACAGCCTCTAAGCCCCAGGCCAGATTATCTGGGGCAGAATTTGGCTAGCTGTCCATCAACAGATACAGCTGGGTTTCATCAAACCTCCATATCACCTGGGCGAAAGGGTGCACGTAGATGTTAAATAACATTGGGGAGAGGATTGCCCCCTGGGGGACACCACACACCAAAGGGTGACATTCTGAAACCTTTTCCCCAAGTGCAACCGTCTGTCCCCATCTGTGGAGAAACAAGCTGTTTCACGAATCCTCACATCGGTGATGCAGTGGGTCATTAGGTCATAATCAATCTGTATTATAGCTATTACAGCATTAGAATCATCTTTGGGGTCAATAGTCAACAATTTTTAGTTTATGCTACTTCCTGAGGATACAATGAATAAGAGTCTTAAAGCTTGCAAGAGTTTTCTAACTGAATTTTCAGAACTTCGCAACTGAAATGAAGTACACTGCTGTGCCTGGTTGCTTTTGATGAGATTTGATTTGATTTTGTTTCCTTCCTTTCCAACAGAACCTGTCATTGTACCCTGTAGCCAAAGTAAATGAACTAGTGGAGCCAATATCAGCTCGTTCAAGGTTTTTGTGTAGACGGGGTCATAGCACAAAAATGTAAAGCCTGACCTGGCTGCTTTCTGCACAAAAGCTTCATTCCCTTGTAGATTCAACGAAACACATAAAATACTCCCTCTTTGTCAAAAGTACCAGCATTATTTTCATA